GAAAACCCCCTCCATCCCCAACCCCTAATCTATCCACGCTAATCCTGAAAAAGCAAAAAGACCACGTGATTGCTTCTAATTATAGCCCGGTCCTTGAGCAGCTGTTCGCGGTGTCTCTGCTCGAAGTACCTCCATGCATGAGTGTTGGGAGCTTAAAGCTTTGGGTTTGGGTTGTGTGTGTGCTGCATGGGGCTTGAGGCGTTGCTCGAATGTGCGCGCATAAGTGGGACTTCCTGTACACTCGCATCCCTCACGTCTTTCTCTAAACCACCGACCCCTCTGAACACGAGGCCGACCATGGCACCTGGTATGCTGATGGGGCCGAAGCAGAAACCTGCTTTGAGGGAAGCCTCTTGCCCAATCGGACTTCTCCTGATATTTCCTCCACAACCCCTCTTCCCAGACTCCTGAAACCCAGGCCTATGGTTTTGAACTAGGTGAAGTTAGAAACTGGGCAGCCCGGAGCATGATTCCTCTTCTCAACAGATAAGAAGCAAGCCCATGCCCCTCAACCCCGACACCAGAATTCATGAACAATCTCTGCAAACCCCATGTCATCAGGGCATATTGCCCGGTTTTTAACTCTAAAACTCAAAGCCCTAGACCCTGATAATTCTACAAGTATATGTACCCTTTCCAGGTTCTTTGCCTCCGCTTTGTGTCTTGAAGCTCTTTGGTGACGCGCTCAATCTCCTCCTGTGTAGTCTCCGGGATTTAAGCTTTAGGGCTTCTCAAGGCATTATATAAATGTCGCATGATTACTACATATTGGCGAAAAATTGCTCTGTCAAACCGATCTTAAGTGACGAGCTTCATTCTACACTGGGCTCGATACTTTTCTATACAAGAAACATGCTTGTTGCTCAGAACTTCCAAAATAATGAGGCTGACAGCCAGATACGCTAGTTTCAGGCATACACTGCAAAGGACATGAGAATCCCCTAGTGTGACGTGAGGAATATTTCATCAAGAGTTATTGGGCTCCCCGGAAAGGCTGGGAGTCGAATCTTCAAGGGGTTGAGGGTGTACATGGTAGTTTCCCTGAATAAGGGGACACCAATATAGATCCCAAAATATTCTTCCGCATCATGGAGACCTCAAAAACTTATCCCCTGATTTTGAGAATGCCCCATGTGTGGTTTGAGGTCTGGGTTGTGGCGTTTAGGGTAAAGAGGGGTTCCGGCTCCAGGGGCAACCTAGCAACCTGGGAGAAGCAGGATGCCTTCATGTGCTTTGGGTTCTTCATAACCCAAACATGTGATTAATGAACCCTCCCCTTTATAGGGATTATAATAGGGATCCTAGTATTAAGGCCTTAAAAAGGAAGGGGCTTATTAATCACGGGTCTACATTACAAGCAATGAGATGGCATCTGCCGGGAGTGATCAGGCTGCTTACTAGTTACTGGCTTCTCTGAAAATGAGGAGCTGCAATTTGATTGAAGCTATGTTCACTAGCAATACCTTAAAGACACACATTCTCATTATACTGCCAATATGTAACTGTGACGGAAGTAGTATCCACTATCAAGGTCTGGGAGCGCCATTCTCATGGGAAGCCGGGTTCCAAGCAAAAAGTGATATAGTCCCCCTTAAGTAGATAGAATATGGGGTATGTGCGGGATCTTATTATAATATACCCAAGCCATATTCGATCTACTTAAGGGGGACCTTAAACCCTAATCCCTAATCCCTAAACCCTAAGCCTTAAACCCTAAATCCTAAACCCTAAACCCTATATTCTATCTACTTAAGGGGGCCTTGATGGGTGGATTTCTTGCCATGTCTGCGGCCTGCAGGTTTGGAGCTCAGGATGCGAGACTGTTGGATCTACTACAGGGACCTAAATGAGTACCTATATCATTTGAGGTCCATTTGTGGTACCATATACTATAATTATACAAAGAATATGGAACCATAACAGTGGTAAGTATTTAGGCCCCTACAGTATCCCCCCCAAACACGGAAGCGCAAATAAGCCCTACAAAGATTACCTGACCTCCGCCTTTAGGGTTTAGTTTAGGGTAACTCTAAACCCTTCTTTTTGAAGCCCCGAACCGAAGCCCCTAGATGGATTGAGAGCTTTTTCGCGCCTTGTAGTCGCTTAGCTGGGCATGGTACATGTTCAGCTCTGCTGCCATGGCCTATCAGGGACGTCAACATCTGGGATGTTTTGTGGATGCCCTCAAAGCACTGTAATTCCTAGCTACAACGAAGATGTGGTGGTGGATTTCCTTGGTCATAGTATTCCACTGGGTTGTCCTTTAAGCCATTTGAAAATCATTGGCTATTGTGGTTCTCTACAAAATGATCGGGGAAATTAAAAAAGATCCCAAAGGACAACCCAGTCCAGTCTTCAGCCTTCATCTGCAATCTAAACGCCAATTGCAATCAGTGCCGTTTCAAAGGCTCAGGTCTAGGCTGATTTTGACTCTGTTCAAGTGGGAATTTGCAAAAGGTGGCTGTAGGCTTCAAGATTTGGGGTCTGCTACCTGGGCCTGAGTAACTTCCAATAATCAATTTGAGGGTTCCCTGAGGTACAAATCCTACCCTATACCAGAATGGTACACGGAATCTAGAACCAGAACGCTTTTCATGTTCTAGGCCCTCACATTAACTTCCCCTTAAATAGCTAGAATATGGCTTTGAGTATATTATAGTAAGATCCCCACATACCCTGTATTCTATCTACTTAAACCCTAAACCCTCATCCCTAAATCCTAAATCCTAAACCCTAACTCCCAAACCCTAAATCCTATTAAACCCTAAAACCTCACTATTATATCCTATCTACTTAAGCGTCACTATAAGTTCCTGGCTTCAATTCAAGAGCTGCAGGGGCTGGCTGCAGCTTCCAGAGGTGCCCAGAAGCATTCCTTCTTAGAGGGGTTTTACCAGGGTAATTTTAGGGTTATATAGGGGTTATGTTTGGGTGATATTAGGGTAACATTAGGGTTATATGGGATCTCCGAAGTTAATTGATGCTAACACATGGATCTCGAGAATTCAGGGTTTGTTGGGTGACATGAGGCATTGAGAAGGAGCGTTGAAGCGGCGTGATTACTCCATTAAAAACCCTTGAAGAAAGGAGGTCACCTTCAGGGCTCTATGAAGTCAACTTCCTGAACCAAGCATCCAAGCACATTCCAAGAACCGTTAGACCCACACAACCTAAAGTCTAACACTGCACACCCAAAAATGCTAAAACCATGGAGGCCCAGCAGCATGAAGAGATCCTTGGGCCCAACTATGCGACACACAGCCCTAAAACCTAAATCCTAAAGCCCAAACCCAGACGAGCTGAGCCTTCATTTGCTTCGTCTTCTCCTGCAGGCGCTGCATGCAGAACCCCATTACAATACAATTACATATCAAGAAGAAAATGCATTATGAGGGGGAGGCACAATGTCGCAGTCATCAGCAGCAGCATCCAAATCGTGAAGAAAGCTTGTCGCTGATGCAACGGCTCCACATGGTTTAGGGTTCAGGGTTTAGGCCGGAGATTTTTGGAATTGGGTCAGCTGGTGGCCGTCACATTCATCCCCATCATAAGCACAGTGCGGGCTCAATGTTCCTGTTTTGCATCTTGCGAAGCACCTTTAAACATGAAGGCCGCAGCGCTGACTGTCTAATGGATATGTCATAAGAGAGTTGCTCCATGTAATCCTTGGAGGGCCCTTCAAAAATGTCCTTCTCTCTAGGGTCCCTACGGGCCCCCCTCCTGAAAAGGCTGCTGGAGAAACATATGTAACAGCTCGTGCGTCCCGTCAAGGTATTGAGCTGTCCAGACGCACACAGCTTTGCAACCGTGGCTTTTGCATGCTGCTCTTCGGGACAAATGGATTCGGCACTGCTTTCAAGCATAGCCGCGCTGGTCTGGGGTAGGGAATGAAGGAACGGCATGGACGATGGTGCCTTCCATAGCATTGGAGAACATGTACAGATCTGGATAGGGTCTGTTACGAAACTCCCTACTGACATTAGTAAGTAGCTGCCCATCACAAGTGCCCTACCTGCATTTCTTGTCGCCGTATGGGTCACTCAGAGAATCTGGCAGCCACTGTGACGGTCCACCTGAATTCTGTGTAACGGCTGCAAGAAAATGGCATTCACAATAGCGTGAAGGTCATCCTCGAGGTCCTCATAGTCTTTTCCTGGCCGAAACCCTGCACAGCAGGCTCTCTTCATGGTGTTGACCTGGTGTAGCTCAGCGTCCGCTGCGCCTCGCATCCACTCGCTGGGAAGGAGCCCACCTGAGTTCATCTCGTACTCCATCAGCCATGGCGAGCCAAGATCTAGCTCAGACCAAATGTTCACCAATGACGAGACTTTGGTTGCCTCATCCAGGTCATCAGTCTTCGTGTAGACTAGGACAACGTTCCCAAAGTTGCGCTTCGTGTAACCACCCAGCCACTCTAGGTATCTGCTCATGCTTGCCTTCTGCAAAGGCAGAAGCCTACCCTCGCACACAAGAACGACCTTGTCGATGAGGGCCATATTTGTGCGGATGTAATGCTGCAAGACGGCATCCAGCTCCTTTTCTGGCAGCAGAGTATCGCAGAAGCCAATGGTATCGAGGATGTTGATCTTCATCTGCACACCGCCTGCCACCCCGCCGATTCCATGGATGATTCTCATTCGCTTTGTCACAGACTCCGAACCGCCTTTAGACTCCACCACATCCAAGTTGCAGAGCATGTTGATCAATCTAGACTTTCCACCGCCCGTTGGGCCGAGGACTACAACGTTGAAGCACTCTTGCATATGTTCTTCCATGAGGTAGTCGAGAAGCTTTAGGTACTGCACCCAGTGAGGTCGCCGTGGATAGAGCTCTCTCTTCATCATCTTCGGCTTGCCGAGCTGCGCAGGCACCGCATTTACTAAGCTGCGGGTTCGCTTCCACAGCTGCTTGTCCGCCGCCATGCACTCTTCGAACTTCTGAAGAACTGCAGGAGTGACGGCCCAGTAGCTGACCCACGCACCCGAAGCCACGTAGCGAGCCCAATGTTCAGAGTTTGCAAGCAACCAAGAGTGGCCTTCTGCGCCTATCACTTGTTGCAACCTTTTGTTGACCTCCTCTGTGCGCGCGAAGCTCTTCTCAATCTTGTATGATGGCGGCAATCTGCCAAAGCTGACACCACCTGGACCAAACCGCATGGCTATTGCCTCGTCTGTGATGAAGTAGATCTGCACCTCTACATCATCGAGCTTGCCTGGGAATCTACCTGGGTGTTGGTGTGCAGTCAGCAACTTGTGGATGATAGCAAACTGTTGCAATCATGCAGGACCCCAGACAGGAAGAATCATGTAGGGGTCATAGAATTATCAATATCATGTTTAAGTCCGTTTCAGGTACCCATCTAGGACCGTCAAGAAGATTGGCAATAACTCAGGCCCCTTTCATCAATCGGAGTCAAGCTGCACAAAAAAAGATTACGTTTGAGGTTGAAGGACTGGCGCCAGAGCTGCTCGGGAACTGGTGAGCTGCAGAATCTGAGCTTCCATTCTTCTGGCTTTGTGGCCTCACAGCTTCACACGACGGAACACAACCTAAGGTAAACCTAAAACTGACTACTACAGGGGCCTAATAATTACCAATATCAGTTTGAGGTCCATTTGAGGTACCATAGGCCACAATTATATAAGGAATATGGAACCATAATATTGGAAATAAAGTATGCCTCTGTATTAGGTTTGGTAGCTTGATGTAAGAACCATCCACCAAATTTTAGGTGGAAATTCCGAGCCTCCTCAAGCACTGCAAGCTCGCGCAGCATAGCGGGATCCGGCTCTGAGGCGAAAAGCGCCTGGGCACGGCAACCTTCACAGAAGTGGACTCCACTTCTCAGAGCGAGCCGCCTTGCTTCCAGGAATGAGCCATTGTCGCGCAAGGACAATGAATAGCAGAAGAGCCCTGCTCACATCTTTAGATGTATGAAGTAGAGATTCAAGGCATACCCTGGTCCAATGGCCAATGAATGCAGCCCTGCTACAACTTGTCACTGCGCGACAAGCATAGTGCGCATTAGGAACAGCACTTCTTATCTTGACTTGCGTTTGAGGCTTTTCTTTGGCCCCTCTCCGAGCTGTGGGAACCCTCAGTTTCTGAACAGGCTTCCGTGACTCTGGAGTATCCCCTATAAGCAAGTGAGGGACATCATCTTGGGGAAGGGCCTCTACGAGTTAAAGGACCGCAGAACCAAGAGAGACCAATACACCGTAATTAAGGAATATACCTAAATTGACACTAGGCTCCCGGATATGATTTGGAGCGTAGTCGTTCATCAAGGGAGGCTAAGCTCGCTGAGCACGTGTTGAGCTGCTTACTGCGCGGTCTGGGCAGACCAGGCTTTTGCAACCCGATAGAGTCATGCAGGATTGGGAGCCCAATCATAAGGGGACCCCATTTCTGCTCTACACCCCTTTCTACTCCTATCTGCCCCTATATGATGTAAACCCATATACCTCCAGCTAACCCTATATATCCCTATATAACCCCCACAGACCACCGTGCCTTCAAGTTGTTCTGTTGCTTTCCAACCTCCTCCACCTGAGTGGTGGTTTTCTGGGGGATTGAGCCATGGGCCTATAGAGGGATTTATAATGGGGGAAAAAGAGGAAAAGGGAAACTACTCTAATGTTTACAGCTTCGGTTTAAGGTGTTTTGTGGTGGTTGAACCCTAGGGCTCTGTAGGGATCTATAGCAAGGAGCGCAAGACATCGGAAACGCCCTTGGCTCAAATCCTTGAAGCCTCACTAAACACTGTAATCTGCAGAGTATGAGCCTCATATCAACCAAAGATCTTTGGGAAAAGTTTTCCCTAACCACTGAGCCCTAAATGTGTCCATATGAGGGTGCCTTACTCTAGCGCCCTCAAAGGTGAACCCTCACCCTCACCGGTCCCCAACCCTTTCCCTGCACCAAGGTCCCGGCGACCTCCGGTCCTGGCTGCTTGTCAAGGAGATTCCTTCACAGCGCCAGGCTTGGGAGGTTGTGTTTTATCGCATGTTTGTTGTTGTTATTGTCACTTTTGTATTGTGCTCTTTACTTTTCGTCGCAATAATATCTTACTTGTGGTTGTACTTAAACGGGTTCATTTTTTATCTTTATTCTCATTACTAGTGCTATTGCTGTTATTACTATCATCCTTGTCGTGAATATTTTGGGCGCTCTCAAACCTATGACTTGGTTCGTCTTGTAGCGGGTGGTATTCCTTTTCAGCACCCAAAGGCAGGGTGCTTTTTGGGTTGGCAAGAGAAGTCTTTTGCCAGCCTGGGAAGGGTTTTTGGTTTTTTATCGGAACTTTTCTTCAAGGCACGAGTCCCCGAGGATGCTATTAAAGCATGGCCCCAGGTATGTTTTGGTTTGGGGTTTAAGGTTTCGGTTGAGGGTTTAGGGCTTAGGGAATAGCAGAGGATTAAAGTTGGCACAACTTTTCTCTCCCTCGCGGAGTGGGCCTGTTTGAGAGGGCAAAGACTAGTTGGGCTAGGGATATAGTTTCGGGCTTGGAATGGTATTGTTACAGGGTTTAGTTAAGCCATAAGCCCTATTGGGACTTGCAAGCCTTTTGGCTCTCAGAATTGGGAGAGAAGCCCGTCTCGGGAAAGCTGCTCTCACGTGGATGAGGAACGAGGTCGCCGCTTTTTGCGTTTAGGGTCTATTGCTTCTGTACCTGTAGACGGGTCCTCGAGGTATAGGAAGCATATGAGGGATTATGGGGCTCCCTCGTCAGAACTATTGTAAGGACTCTCGAGAAATTCCACAATTTGTGGTGGCAGTTGCCCCTCCAATCAAACCACAAGACACCCTGAAGCCCCAAGACTTCGTCCCCCCTTGCATGCCCACAACAAAGCCTTCGACCCCGTGAGCTCAAAAGATGAGATGCGAGGCCACAACAGCTTGGCTTGCATTGCAGGGCCTCATCTCTAACCCTACACCCGCCTAAAGGGATATACGGGAGCTATGATAGGGGTTTAGGGTGGGATATGTTGGAGTTTAGATGTTTCGGTACCCAAACTAATGCTCGGCTTGCCAGGCCTCATCTCCAGGTAGAGCTTCTCCTTTTCCTGGATCGCCAAGTCCTGGCTTCAAGATGAACTCCCTAAACCTTAAGCCCTCAAACCTATAGGCCCCCTTAAGTAGATAGAATATGGGGTATATGGGGGTCTTAGTATAAGATACCCAAAGCCATATTCTATCTGCTTTAGGGTGAGTATCAACCCTAAATCCTAGACCCTAAAGCCTAAATCCTAAACCCTGAACCCGAAATCTGAAACCCAAAACGGTCCCAGTAAGCCATTGCCAGACTTCAGGCAGAAAAGAAGCTAAGCCTTAAAGCTTGATACAGGAACCCATCCATACATTTAGTAAAGTGCCCCGCCTGCAACGACTTTGATCCTAGTTGCAATGCTCCTGGAAGAAAATCCTCTAACCTTAAGACAACCGCCTCCGGCATCCCTACCTGCAAATCCCTACAGTGGATGGAGGAAATCTCACGCCACTTAAGATATGGAAAAAATGTGTACCGCAACACTAACAGAAACAAGCAGAAGAAGTCCAAAGTGCACATATGAGCCAGTGTCTAAACTCCTAGTATCCTCCTTAGTAACCCTTATAATAGTCCCCTCTATAATCCGCTATATATCCTCCCTTTAAGGAGTTTAGACCCTAAACCCTGATCCCCTATATAACCCCCCTTTAGGGTATCACCATTACCATGAGCTGGCCTTCTCCACGGCCTCCTCAGTTTTGGAGATCAACCTCTTCTGCAAGGTCTTGACCTGTCTGAAGCGTAACTGCCGTGGGGTAACTTTTCACACGGGTGGTTTCCCAAAATTAGGTATCCTTTTTTTGGGGGGGGGGGGTCCCTGCGACAAGGGTTATAGTATTAAGGGGTCTATATTGGGGTAACTACCATAGCTTACCATCAGGCTTATACAAGCGCCGTGTCAGCTATCAGTAAGTACGAGAGGTCTAGGCTACTTCGGAAACTAAAAACACTGATTCGGAAACTGAAACTCTGATTCGGAAACCAAGCTGATTCGGAAGCTAGAAACCCTGATTCGGAAACTCAAAACCCTGGTTCGGAAACCAAAAAACCCGATTCAGAAACTGAAACCCCTGATTCGGAAACTAAAAACCCCGATTTGGAACCTGATTCGGAATGCAAGGGATTACCCTGCAACCCCCCCCCCGGCACCCCAAGCCTCACCCCCATGGCTTCAAGAAGTGTAGTTTCAGTTTACTTTCTGAATCGATGATTTCTAGTTAGTTTCGGAATCGGTGATTTTAGTTTCCGAATTGGCGATGTTTAGTTCCGAATGGGGAAATTTTGGTTTCCGAATCGGGGAATTTCCAGTTGCTGAATCGAGGATTGTTCGTTTCCGAAGCGGGGAATTGTTATTTTCCGAATCCAGGATGTTAGTTTCTGAATCGGGGTTCGTTCTACACCTACCCATGAGCATAACTTTTGTCAGCGGTTGAGCGAAGAACTATTCTCCCTCTTATAAAGTACATTGCCTCAAAGGAAGATACAATCTAACTCTATCTTACCCTGAACCCTAAACCCAAGACTACCTCTTCTAGGGCACCAGGACCCAGAAGATGTTGGTCACATCTTGGTGCATGGGGGATCCCCAACTAAAACACCCGCCCCCGAAGTGGGCCTTCTGCATCATCTCGTAGGTGCTGGGATCCGAGCCTCACAATTGGGGGGCTTTCTCTGGGTTTAGGGTTTCGGGCTTCAAAATCTGTACTCCCCCTGGACTTGTTTCTTAGGGTGATCTTATAGTAAACATGAACCATGCTTCCTTAGGAGACTACAGCAATGGGGTACCAGCCTTTTGGACCCTTAGGATTCTCCAAGGTGGCTTAGGGTTTAGGGGATTTGGGGGCCCGTATACTAAGGATAATACAGGCATGCTCGTGGGAAATTCACCCAACTTCCAACGGGAAGGGACGTGAGGTGCCCCCGAAGACTTCCTTCGTGTTCTGAAGCTGCAGGTCAGATAAGCATGTCTTTCAAAAACATCTTCTTCAACCCTGATTTGAGGGCCTTTCTAAGAGTCTGGGACTCTTCGGATGTGGGGTTGACAGAGGTTGGTAAGGTAAGGGCTCTAAGGCTGGGGCTTCCGACTTTTAACCTTGAACCCTGAACCCTAAACCCGAAACCCTAAACCCTATACCGCAAGGCTGGGGCTTGAAGATGTGACTAACCTCGGCTTA